AGCTCTTCCCTGTTCACAAGCAGCAGGCCCAGGAGGGCACCTTCCCTCGTCAGCTCACTCACCAGCTGTGTGAGGAAGTTATCCTCCACACATTCCAGGAACCTCTTGGACTATTCCCTCTCTACTGTGTTGTGATCCCAGCAGATACCCAGGAGGTTAAAGTCCCCCACAAGAACAATGGCAAGTGACTGTGAGATTTCTCCCAGCTGTTTATAGAAAGCTTCATCCACCTCACTGCTTTGGTTGGGGGTCTATAGCAGACTCCCACAGCAAGATCTGCTTTATTAGTTCTTAACCTAATCCAAACACTCTCAACCCCATCATCACTATACTTGATTTCTGAGCTGTCATAGCATTTTCTTACATACAGGGCCACTCCACCACCTCTCCTTCCCTGTCTATTCCCCTTGAAGAGCTTGTAGCCATCAATTGCAGCACTCCAGCTATGTGATGCATCCCACCATGTTTCTATTGTAGCTACTATATCATAGTTCTCGTGTTGCATTGTGGCTTCAAATTCCCCCTGTTTGTTTACTCTCTTTTCACTTGGTATATACATGTGTCTGTTTACAAAAGCTGGTTATTTGGGGTTTTTTTTTTTACTCACTCTCCCAAATTCCACTCTGGAAAAGCACTCCAGTGGAGAGAAATGAAAAGATAGGTAAGCACTTAAAATGATCTCTTAGATTCAGTCTCTTCATCTAGTATTGGTGTCTCTCTGTTTTACATATGTAGCAATTTCTATATTATATTGTAGTGACTTTAAAAAATGTTCACATTTCTCCCAAGTAAAAAGGAGGTATATATGTATTATACATACCATAAACAGCGATAAATGAAACAAAATTATGTTTCTATTCACATTATAAAATATAGGCTTATTTGGGAGATGAGGGAAAAATACATTCTCTTTTGTGTGCTGTCCACAAAATGAATTGCAGTCAGTGATTAAAATTTACCACTGACACCAATGATGATTAATATAGAGGTGATATTTAAGTTCATGTATCAAAGGCTTTAAGTTTTAAAGTTGGTGTTACAGGAATTTAAGTCATCAGAACTCAAAACAAGACCTTGATTTAATATACATTTTAAAATAGTTCTGTTAATTTTTTTCTTGCCACACATAACTTGATAAATTAGCTATATCTTCCTGTTCAATGCATTGTTCTTGTGATGTTATTAAGGCAGTATAAAAGATTACAAGTATAGTAGTATCATGGAATTTGATTAACATAAGGGGAAAAAAGAAGGTGCAAGCTTGAATTCAACCATCCTTGAATATTCAGAAAGTGTCATAACAAAGCTGTCAGCAGCAGAACTGGACTTTCATATATTTCTATGGCCTATTAATGACTTATTTATAGGATAATACAAAAGAGTCGTCTCACCCCTCCTTGGGTTAAAGCAGCACATGCACTGTTTTCAGACACCTTAGTTTTGTGGCACAACTTGATGTAAACAGACCATTGAAGTCACTGGCTAACTTTGTGGTGTGACACAGACTACTTTTCTATACCCACCAATAAAAAAGAAAAATAAAATGGTCATCCAGACTTAAGTACAATTTGAACTCTCTTTAAGAGTTGCATATGAAACAAATGTCTGTCCTGCTTGCTACAGCAGATGAGCAGCTTACATCTTGGTCTGAGATGTCAAAATAGCATTTGATAGAATAAATTTTGGCAGAGCTTTGTCTTACCAGTGAAGAGAGTTTCTGGCAGGAGACTTTGGAAAGCTGACAAATTCTTGGTCTGACTGTTGGAAGTTCCTACTCCTCCAAGTGAAAAAGGAAGCAACTGACAATTTTTATGAAGTAACTGCATGTCACCTGTTATTGTACTTTTCTTCTGAGCTATAGTTGACATCCATGGATCAGAAGCAACACGGACTTTGGCACTAAAACTTATTGAATAACGAAATAGCAAGTAATGAACAGCCAGTGGTATCCATGGCAAATGAGTAGATCCTCTACTGAGGACTGTAGCTGGGGAGATAAAAACCCTCATTGACTTGGAAAAATCACGAGTAACAACAGCCGTTCTGGTCAGGAATCTCCTGAACACATCGTTAAATTTTATTTTGACAGCTGTCAGACACAGGAGAGGATCCAAGGCACTCCTAACAGTGTGTCAGCTTCTCACGCATGGCAGGGTGAAAAATGAGTTGTAAAGACTGGTATTAGGATGGCAACTGAAATTCCTTCAGCCCCGTGACAAACTAACCTTAGGTACTATGTTACTGAAGTACTTAGTAGTGACTAGAGCTGGAAGTGTAGGAAATTAAATCCATTTCATCTCAAAGCTCTAGGGGGCAGTAAAATAAAATTTAAAAATAAAATTGCATTTTCTACTTGCAGTATAAATAATTGCATAAATAATTGCATTCCCTGTGAAAAGGAAATCTGAACAACAGCAGAAACAGAGAGAGCGAGGTGACATCTTATTTAAAAACTTCAGATGACACTGACCCTGACTGTCACTGCTACAGTTGAGGTACTGCGCCATTTTGACTAGCCAGCCAGTCACCCAACAGAATATTCTGTCCCGAAGGTAGGTAACAGGATTGTGTCTTTGGTAAGATTTGCCAGTTTGTATGCTCCAGATACAACGATAAGTGAGATTTGGTAATGGTCTGTACTGGAAGCTGAAATGTGCCAGGTGCCACTTTGGTATTTCCTGGGGCACTGCCCCTGAGGGCTGAAAGGCTGCCTGGAGAGACTTGTAGCTGGCCACAACTCTGAGACCAAAACTAGATAGTGCTGGCCAGAACAAATGGATGTTCCATGAGCTCTATGTAGAGTCTGTCCTGTAGGACAGTTCAGCAGGGTTGAAAATTGTCCTTTCTTTGTATAAATTCTGGAGAGGTTATGAGCAGAGATGAACAGCTTACCTCCTGTGTTGGTGCAGCTGTCCTTAAAGCCCCACAAACGTACCAAATGCAAGGTAAATCACATGCTCTGCTTGTATGGGATTTCTCATTTCTAACCATTTTACAATTGTCAAGTATATTTTGTGAAATGAGATGTTATAGCTGATTTAGTCTGAACTTCATGGCTAATTTAGGAAAGGCAGTTTGTCTTTTTGATATTTTTCAGTCTCACAGAAGCTCCCAGTATTTTCCCAGGTATTTTCAAGAACTGTTGCTTGTTCTTATCCTTAGATACCCTATCACTTCTGTCACTTCCAAACAGTATACCTGCCTTAAGTGACTATTCCAGGAGTACTTGCTGCCAATTCAGTGACTTCTGCTAGTCTGTTTTGAGGAGTCTACTGCTGATTCATCAAATCTCAAACCGCTTAGAGTTCAGTAAGTTTTAATATTATAGTAGGAGCACAGATTTATTTCTCCATGGCTTTCTGCAAGTGATGGGTCCAGCTGATACTCTACAAAAAACTAAGTTATTGTTGACTGATTTGCCTAGCAAGGAAATAATCCTTTCTTCTTGCTAGCTGCATCTTAGGTTCCTTGTTTTGTTCTTTGTTCTCTGATAAGCCATATGTGCAGGTATGGAAACAACTAAATTTTGAAGGCAGATGAAGTAATTGTAGCAAGTGATAGAGAATATGTTTAAAAACACTGTATATATAATACAAAGCCCTCACTTCCCATTAGTCTATTTTCCCATTTTACTCTATTTTTAACATTTAGAAAAATAATTGCTATTTCTTATAATGTAGCAGCAAACCAGTATTTTTAATTGAGATAGCTTAAAGCATAATTACTGAATTATAAACACTAGTTTAATCTTGTTAGGCAATTTGTAAGCATCTTAATTTAACTTTGTAAGTATTCAGACTTACTCTGATTTTCCTTTGGAGTTGAAGATTGGACTGAAGTGTGCAACAATTTAGCATGCAGCTCATGGTGAAAAATTTAAAGTTGTGTTCATAAATCCTTCCTCAGTGGACTTTTTTCCTGTATATTTGTGATCAGCAGGTAATTTAATTAGTTTGAAGAGTTCTAGTTTTATCCTTTTATCACAGCTATGTGATTGAGCAGAGGCTTGTATTAGCAGTGTTCCTTTGTGGACAGTAATTTACCTGACTGTAAATAACTAGTACCATGGGTAAAACCACAGTTACTTATTTAAAGAATCTTGCCTATTTTTCACATTTAAAATTGGCCAATATGAAAAATGATCAAATACTTTCAGATATATTGCTTATTTGGTATTAGTCACTAATTTATAAAGTTGAATTCAATCTTTTCTTTGTTAGTAGCTAACTTTCAATACTTCAATAGTTCTGAATGGAAATGCCAGTCAGTTGACACAAATCTCTTCTCCAATTTAATAAATATAGTCCTTTGAATTAGGTATCTAGAGCAAACACTGATCTTAGTCCAGGTAATTTGAATAAAAGTTTTTTGACTTTTTGACTAATACCCTTTGGAGTGATTAATGACCAAGTATCAATATCTCTATAACATGCCATGATAGTGCTTATATGGTATTCTGCCATTGTTCCATAGAAAAGGAGAGAATTCATAAAAATTTACTTTATTCAGAAGGAAGATTGGTTTTTTGAAAATACTGTATTCTTACAGTACTTTTAAAATTTTTAAGATTCTTAAAGTAATTTAAAATCTTTTTTTAAAGTCCTGTAAGAATGTATAAATTCTTACCTTTTTTAGAAAAAAGTTTGATGTATAACTAAAATGTGCTGTGAGATCCTAACTTCTTTGGTAGGTAGGTCATGTAATTTATTTTCTGAAAAAGCAGCAGATATGTTATGTGAAATGAGCCATTAGATCATGTTTCATAAATTTGTGGAATCCTGGCCTTACAGAATCCAACAGAAACCTTTTCATTTCTTAACTGAGAAACATTTTCATCATCTTAACTGAGACAAGAAGTTCATTCCACATACAAAATCTCTGTGTAAATCAGCTGATTTTAATCTATTCACAGAATAAGTCTCAGTCCCTGAGAGGAAATAAGGGCAGTAACAGAATAAACAGCATGCACATTCATTTTTAGTTGTATCTTCAAAACTTACAGCTGCTGTTCGGTCCACCTCACAGCGACTACTCAGAATGAAACAAGCTTCAGCGTCATCCATTCTAGAAGGGAGACAAGCTTGTTAAATACCAACAAAATACTTATGTGGATTTGTGTTTCACAGTTTATAGACTTGTATACTTATAGAAACAGAATACTGAGAAAGTTTAGTCTATTTGTTCTCATGCATTATCTGAATGTCAGCAGCAATCACCCTGTGTACTAACTCATGGTGTACCAGTACTTCTTGACTCAGTTCTGGGAAACTTTCTTTCACTGATGCCAGTAGAAGCTGTGCCAAAGTAACAAAATCAGAATGGCCTCAAATATATTTAATTTGCAAAATAAATATTTATCTGCCATGAGTATAAAAGGTGAATAAATAGCACCAGTCTACATAGTGTGTAAGGGTATGATGTACAAGTTATTATTGATAGGAAAGAATGAGAGCAGGCAGGTAACTTAATATGGACTTGCCTAATGATAGCAGAAAGATGGGTAGATGTACTAGAATAATGCATTTGGGATAAGTAACAACCATTTCAGTATACGTATGCATTAAATTAATTAACTATTTTCAGTTCATGGTCTCTTTGAGAGCTTTTAATGCCTAATTGTTCTCTAGTGGGTATAACTGATCTTGTAATAAAAAGAGTAGTGGTGTAAGGGCAGAGAAAAACTGTCTGACTGAAGGTTTCATCCAAGTTTGCTTTTCCTTTCTTGCCTCAAATCTAGATAACCTCCAGTGAATCCTACTTCACTTACTGATACATGGAAGTAAAGAAATAGGGACTTGGTTGACCTCCGTGGGAAGACAGGACTTTCTGGGCAAAGAGAAACAGGATGATCAGAATGGGTTTCCTAGGAAGGGGAAAAGTGAGATAGAAACTGGGGAGAATGAATAGTAAATTTACTGCTCAATTACAGCAACTCCATTCTGGAGTCTGGAATGGGACCCAAGACCCCTAAATCTTTGGTTTCTCTGCTGCTAGAAAATGGAATTGGAGGTTGTTAACAATAGTTTAGGCCATTGGGACCCTAGGCTTAGATTGAGAACCCATTCTTTTATGTACTGTACAAACACAGAACAAAAAGTCAGTCCTTGTCATATAAACTCTAAGTGACATGACAAAGGACAATAAAAGTATAGGTAAACATGGGAAACAGGAATACATGGTGTAAAAATACCTGAATATAGAAATCATCATGGTAGAAAGTAGTCTTACTAGATATCAGAGCAGAGAACCAACTGGAGAGAAGGATGTGAGGGAGAACACTGGGATTACTTTACAGATGTTTCTGAGAAATTCATCCTAGATTGAAGGGACAGCATGGGTGAAATCAGGATGGGACTTGTATGTAATATGTTGTGTGTGTGTGAAAGAGAACAGCATTATAGGCTTATCAGAAGGTTACCTCTCAGTAAGAACTGAGAGTTGCAGGCTAAGTGAGAGTAAGGGGTCACTCCTTAATGCAATATAGAAGGGTAAGACAGGGAAGGACTGCCATGAGACAAAGTGACATACTACATAAGTCATATTTCCAGGGTCTTCTGAAACAAGGGTTCAGGGCGTTGACATATGTCAAGAACATAAATACAGTTTTAAGCTGGGCAAAAATGAGAGCCTGTGTGAGAACACACTTGAAATGGAAAAGTCACTGTAACAAAGGCAAATAAATATATCCAAAATAGTAATGTCAAATGCAGCTTATGTGGAGAAGAAGTGAGGACAGGAGGCCACTTTTGAGTGCTGATTAGGAAGAAACTATATGAGCTATGTAAGCAGTTTCAGCTAAGCATGGGAGCAGAATTGGGAAGATAAGGTCTTTAAAGAAGATGTAAGAAAGAAAATTCAGTGAAATTAAGATGAGATTTTGATGAGAGCTGATGAGGTAGCTGGGATTGACAGTATATATCGATGATTCCATACAGAAATGAAACATCATGAAAACATATTCACCTTTATCCCCACCCTTTTTTTTGGTAACTTCTTGAATCACTTCAGCCACAGATGACAAGGATAATAACCTCAGATTAACATCTATGTCATGAAACACTAATAGCATCTGTATTAAAAACATTTATTAGAACCCAGAGTATCCTTATGACAGAAGTGTTATTAATGTCCTAACAACTGAAAAAGCTTTGTCAATTACTCCATTTTTATGTGCCAGAAAACTGAATCTGAGACAAAAAACCCGAATAGTTCCACTGCTTGAGGATGACAAAAATTAAAGGGACTTTATATATTGAAGAGAAATTTGTGAAAGGACAAAGTATAGGGTAAAGAAAAAGAGTGGACATGAAGAGGATTAAGATTTGTGATGGTTCACCAAAGTGGAAGGATAGAGCGAAAAAATATTTGAGGTCATGACAGAACATGGGAGAAAGCTGTAGGGGAATGAAATCAAGCATTGAAGTGTTACTCACTTTGTAGTGCTAGTCTGCATGGAGAATGAGAGCTGTTTTAATCAGTTGCTGTGTTGTTTCAAATGCTAAAGTAGCTATAAAGGTTCCTGTCATGCTGATGAACAATATCAGTATCAGTGTGATACCTCATGACAGATTTCTTTCTGTTTTCTTGTTAAAGCTGGGCACATGAATACTATTCAGAAAATACCAAAAATTTGAAAAGTGAAGATTCAAAGATAGGAAGCAACAATGAATATAATTTTTGTAAAGTCAAATTGTGTACTAGGGTATATAAAGAAAAATACAGTCTTTAGTTAACTGACTATTTACTACTTATGCAGCCAGCTAACTTTTGGTATTCCTTTACTTTTTGGTGTGACCTTTATCAAGTTATTTTGACACTGCATTTCATGTATATGTATAAAATTTGGTAATGAGACACTTATTTTTATTGTTGTTGCAGGTAACCATTATTTTATTTATTAGAATAAGTTTGCCATGTGCCTTGTTATCTTCTCAGTACATTATGTTCTCATTAAAAAGAAATACAGCAAACGTCTTAGGTACTGGGTTATATATCATATTAAATATTCTATTAAGTTCCCACTACACTTCTTCCCTCAGGAGAGGTTGAAAATTATTCTGTGACAGGTACATTCAATTACATGTTCTGCAGGAAAAATCACAGTTCCACATTTGACTACCTCCAGGTTATTATAAGTGAAATTCAAGATTATGGAACAGCCTAATGTTTCTTCTAATGTGTAGAACAAATGTCAGCTAAGTCCTGACATGAATTTCTTCTTGAAATCAGCGAGAAAGCAAAAAAAGGAACCTCTTTAAAAGAAAACTCCTAATCCTGAAAAAAGCTTTATTGTATTTTCAAGTTTTAAACAGATATAGTTGTTTTTTTCAGTGGCAGAAATCTGAGAAGATAACACCGCTTTCTAGAATTCTCACAGATTAGACTCTTGGAAGTAACTCCCCTGGGGTAGAGAAGGCTGAATGATACAAACACTCAGATAGGTATTGGCTTAATTTTAAACATCTGTAGTAGTTGCTGAATAAATTCTTATAAAGAGTATTGCAGATGAGTTATATCAGTTATTTGCTAAGAATCACCCTTCTCTTTCTTTGGAGAGATTCAAGAGACAATCCTCCTACGTGAATTCCGGTGTAAATTCCTTCATACCTTCAAGTGATTGAGCAACTGGGGGGCGTGGGGGTGGTGTGTTTGAGGAACTGTGTTTGACTGATGTCTTTTGATTAATGTCATTCACTACTAACTTCGAGAGAGGATTTTTTAGAAGTGCTGGAAGTATGTGGTAAGAGAAAGGCCTTGAAAGAAGAGTATATGGAGGTATAGTAGGGTAGTTGCTTATACTACCAGGCTGAATTTAGGAAGAAAACAGATCTGTGCAATGGGTTCAAAGGGGGATAATTATTTTTGTTTACTTTTTTCCCCTTCAGTTGGTCAGGAGAACTACCATCACATTTACCATCCTTGCTCAAGGAACGGAAACAAATTCTATCATTACTGGCAGTTTTGGAATTTTCTGTGCTGCTTTTTTAGAAGAAACAACAGGCGCTCTTTTTCAATACCTTTAAAATTGAGACAGAAAAGACAGTGAAGAGAAATTTGTTCAAATGAAAGCTTACAAATATTTGTTCCTTGAAAACTTTCAGATATTAAGAAAAATTATATCAAAGAGCCTTGCTTTCTAAATGCACATGCTTTCCTTCTAACACACTTTTTGTTGTTTCTCAAACTTCTTTATCAAACGGTTTGAGTGAAACAAAATTAAAAAACAAATCGGTCAATATTTGCCTACTTAGCTCTCAACAGGTCTTGATCTTTTAGTGCTGAGCCTTGCAGATAGATAACTCTTTGGGACCACATTGGGATTTGTAACACCCTTCGGACCTGAGCATCCATCTCAGTAGGACACAAAATAACAACATAATAGTCCTGTCAAAAACATAAGGGAATAGTCATGTTATTTCTTTATGTTACCATTTATTATTGCTAGATAATGAGTCAACAGAGACTCAGGATGTCAAAAATGTCTCTGATAATTCTCAAACTTAATTGACAAAACTTATGTGAATACATGTGTTTAAAATATTGAATTGTTTAGTAAATATGACTGGGCACTTGTCAACTGCTCACAAAAGACTTCTGGGTGGCAACTGAAGTCCATTTAGAAACTTTTTTTTTTTCCATATAAGTAGGTTTTTTTTCAGAGATAATTTACATTTCTGTCATTCTAGCTGGAAAATGTAGGAAGTTTTCAACAATCAAAATGAAACTGTTTTCCCAAAAGTTTTTCCTTTACATTAACAGGCAGATCTAAACTCGTTTCCTGTTCTACAGACAGTTCTTGTTAGGAAAAGTAAGGTTGTTCTGAAGCACACGTGTGTACATATGAAAAGGAGAGATAAATAGAATGTGAGAGGAGAGACTGAGAGCTTAGGACAGGCTTGTCATAGAATTGTTCCTTAGCACAGGCAGACTTTTGCAGAAAGCTTAGTGAATTCAATCCAGTGCATCAATTGTATCCTTCAGCGTCCCATTTCAACTGTGAAGGGAATGTAAGTACTATTAGGACTTTTCTTCTTTGTCTCCAGTGCATCACAGAGCCCGACTCTTTCTTTAGACTAGTTAACTAAATTTTGGATTTCGGTTCATGTTTGCATCTATAAAGAACTGTATTTCTTTGTGCATTTGCTTATGCCTCTTACTACCTAATTATTTGGGGGAATATTTTGGATTTGGGATTTGTCAAATTGCTGCTCTGCAACTTGAAGATTGTGTTTTTGTGATTTTTTGCACTAGTTAATGAAGCACAGTACCACAGCTAACTTATTAAAAAATATAGAGAAGATTTAGGAAGATAAATGGTCTGTAACAAAGCTAATGATAATGAATTCAAATTACTATATCATATAAATAAGCTTTTATATGATCAAAACAAGTCATGTGACATATTTGCATTAGCTAGAAAATACACATACACTAAGAAAAACTCATGTGTAATGCTTCAAAGTCTTTGTCCTTGAAAGTATGTCTATTTATTTATTCATTTCAACAATTACAAAAGGATCTAATCTTCCTGACACTGGCAAATGACAAAGCAAAAATAAGAAAACAAAAAGATGCTTTGACTTGTGAGAAGTCAAAGTGATCCAGTGCCAAAGCAACAGGAAAAATTAATTTGAATAGTTTTCATTTATTTTCTATTTTGGGGTAGAATATAAGGAAATATCTGCTTCTTAAAGGACTGGCATAATTCAGCAAGACAGTAATTCTATCTATTTATTCGATTTACTTCAATTTAAAATGAATGTTTCCATACTGTATCTCAGGTTCTTACTGCAATTATAGATTCCCAATTCAGTCAGCTATTTCCAAATTCAGTTTTACAAATTAAAGATCCTTTCAAAAGTCTATCTGCAAAAAATCAGTGGTTTGTTTCCTTTTTTTCTTCACTGTAAGTACCTGCAATCTGGGGTGAGCATAGAATTCATTTAAGAAATCCATAAGTAAGTCAATCTTCAGAGAGCTAACACACAACACAACATGTTTTTCCGTCTGAGCTCTGTGTCGACTGTAGTTACCACCAGACTTTTGTCTCTCCATCCACAAATATGCCAGCTGTTCAAACTGCAAGAGATGGTAATTGTCAGTGAAATACAGACAAGTAGACGCGCAGTACAATGGCATCATGACTTAACAATGTTGCATTGTTCATCTCATACTTCTGTGAAAAGCTGCCCTTAGTCCACAACATCTTTTTGTTTGTAAAAAGTTCACTAGTATGTGTGTGAGATGAATAATAAGAGTGACTGAAAAACATGGCAGCAGAGCCAGTATCTACCACACACAAATAGCAGAGTAAATCCATTAAAATATCATGACATTACAGTAAATCTCAAGATTTTAGAAAAAAAAATAAATGAAAGCTATACCTTGTTTCCTTTATTTATTTTGTACCTCTGAGCTCTCTTTTTCCAGTGCCATATGACATAAATGCTTCCCTCAAATGAAAGGTTACATTTTCACACACTTAAGTGTATACTGGGAGTATAGATACTCAGATAGAAACACCGTTTTACCCAGGTTGGGCAGTAAATCTTCTCAGAGACTTTATAATGTTCTGAAGGTGACCTTCTATACAGTGTCATATCTGTCTTATAAATTTAGATACACCTTAAATACACATCAGCTGTTAATACAGCATATTTGCCTTTGTCAGCAGAATATATGCAGGCTAACAGTAAACTTCGCTCTACCAGTCCAAATCCTTTAGACTAAAGAGAATACTGCAACAATCAACATACAAACACCATTTTAAAGCTTCTTGTAAGTAATAATGTGTTTAATACTGAGCTTGATTTAACAATATATCTGGGATAGCTGCTTTTTCTCATTCAAGTTCAGCTGATGGAGAGACTGAATCCAGAATAATAACTGATTTCATATCATAGCAGGACAAAAGCTCAGGAGAGAATGCCTCCCACATTCTGCGTATGGAAGATTATATGAAGCCCCATTATCACTACAAAGCTGTAAAATAAAGTAGCTAATAATAGGAAAACTTATGTGAAAGGGCAGTAGATTCCAGGTTATTTACTGGTAATGCAGAGCACTTATGCCTGAAGTGCATATCAGAACTACCTGAAAGATTGAATTTGTATTTCCTAGGATATTCCAAATTTCTTAAACAAAGCATATTTTAGTTTTCAATAGAATATATATTTTGCTAAATTTCCACTGAGTGGCAATATAATTGTGTTAGTACATATGTCTGTGTATGCAGACGTTAAGTATTTGGATATAATTAACGTGTTCAAATATTTTCAGGAAAATTAATGCTGAAAGCATAAGCTTTCAACCTCCCAAGGTTTCTGTGCTGTCTGCTCACAGTGAGCTTTAGTTCACTGTCAAAGAAGCAGAGTCTGGAAACTACGGCTCTATGAATAACTTTGGAGCTTTATGGTCTAGGAGGTCTACTCTAAGCTTTGATAAGCATGCACAATGTCTCCCCACATCCCCTTTTTGTGTCACGTCATCTGGGTGATCACCATGTATGGAACAGTTAACATCTTGGCAGGGCTTCCCATTTAATCTTAGAGTTTCTGTCATCAGGCCTCATCTAATGAGCTGGGAAATGTTTGGTAAAATTTAGTTAAACTGATTGACTCCTTGAAATACTTGGGTTTTCATAAATCAACCTTTTCCCTTTGAAACTGTTAGAAGTCCTCAACTTAAATAAGCATCAAAAATTCTTAACTGTGCTGTTGGTTCTGTGTGTGCGTGTACAGACATACACAGCTGTGAACCCAATTTGCTTGAGTTGCAGGTTTAATGAGATTTTTTTTCAAGTTAGCACTGAGCTGTAAGAGTAAGAGAGGAAGTGGAGAGAACCAAGATTAGAAACAGGGAGAGCCTGCAGAGGAAATGCTATACTCATAAAGAAAGTGCTGGCTACTGTTATTTTTTTTTTAAATTGCTCCCTTAATAACAAGCCCATATTTCAGGATGAAGGAAGGGCTCTGTGGTACAAGACAGGAACAGAAAGCTTTCACCAGCACTTGGAAACTGTTATTAGTGTTCTGTTTTTTAGTATAAATCTACACTATAGGAGAACCAACAAAGGAAAAAGGAAAAAAAAAAAATCTGAAGAGTACAGGAGGTATAGAAGATGGTTATTTTTTCTGACAGTTTATATGCAGTAATAATAGTAACAACAAATTACTTCAATTATTATTCTTTTGCTTTAAAAACAATTCTAAAGAGAAGAAAAATCCACATTTACCTGTATGGGCAACACCACAAGAGCAACACAGATCATAATGACAACAAGCAGCTTTGAAGGCCATATCTTGGGTGTAACATCCCCAAAGCCCACAGTGGAAAATGTCACTATGCAGAAATAAAGGGAGTCAAAGAGAGTCAACCTGTTTCCTGCTCGTTCCAGATGCTGAATTCCACAAATACTATGTAGAGAAGAATGAATAAAGACATGAAAAATAAAAACTGTACTTAGGGTCAGTTCAAGTTTGATGATTATATGTGCAGAGAACTACTTTTTTTCAAATTTCATAAATTGCTTAGCAAAGACATTTTTTCAAAGAAGAGTAAAAATTAGTATCAAAGCAAAGTATGTTATTAATACAATTTTCAAATGTCATTTGTAATAAAAGAAACTCATTTTTTCATTATTTCAATATAAGACTCATAACTTTGTTGCTAGGTTTTGCTCAGTGGCTGTTGTGAGGGAGAGGTGGTATATAGAACATGATAGACTGATGCAATTCCTTTCTAAACCAGAACGAAACAGATGGTATATAGTTGCCACCATTCAGAATTTTTTATAAACATCTTTTAACTTTTTCAGGGTGAGTTTTCTGGTATGTCCAAGAAAATGTACATACTGCTTTCTTTAAATCTATTGCTCTTCATGGTGGTCTGTCTCTTACTGTGGTCAGAGTTACTAGGATGAACTAGTTATGAGAGTACGAGTTACATACTAGAAGGATAATGTTGGTACAAATGGGTACTGACTGTCTAGAATAAACTGAATGTGAGACTTGCAGGCTATCGAACTGTCTGAGGAATAAGTGTCCCAGGTCAGCCTTCAGGTAGAAAGTGGAAGATATCGACTGGTATGATGATTCTGCTTGCTAAAAGTACAGAATAGAAACGTTAAGGCTTGGTTGTCTTTGATAGCAGAATGAATGAAGTTCATTCCTTTCAGTCTTATATTCCTGTGAACAAGTAAATAGTAGACCAATTTCATGGGTAATTATTTCTCTTGTAATCAGCATGATATGCTTTTCATTTTGAGAAGCAGTAGCAGAATCTGTCCACAGGCCTTACTGCTATTTCATATGTTACAGATTTTTAAATTATTTTACTTTGAAAAAATATGTAACAATAAAGAACTTCCCAAGCTTAAAATATGATCTTCTCTAATACAGTAGAATTACTTTGATTGGTTCAGGCTTTTAAATTATATTCACCTATATGAAGAAAATCAATGTGTGAACCACTCTGAATAGTGTTCTCTTCCCCTTGGAATTAGCAAAATGATTTCTCCTCAGAGAATTAGAGAAATATTTGATAAATAATATTGTATTCCTTAGTAATTATTCTACATACCAAAGCTGATTTCTTCATATATGGTATCCAGATGGTAATAGTCACTCATTAATATCTGCCATGGTAAGATCTTTGCATCACCAGGGAGACCCTGTGTTTATAACAGCTTTAGCAGTTGTTCTTCTGTTCTCTGTTCTGTTCTCCCAAAATAATTTAGATGTGGGCAGTGGCATTTCCAGAACATATGGATCAAATTCCCAGTTTCCTCTTCACAGTTCTAGCATTTGTAGTTTTCACACATTTCAAAATGTTCTAAAAAAGGCGGGGGTTTTTTTCTCCGTTGTTTGCATAAGTTTCATACTTCAGTCAGAACTGATACTTTTATATTCCTATCCAATTTGTCCCACATTTTTCACTGGAGTTGTACTCTAGATCTTCCATAATTTCACTATGTTCCCAGTTTTTCTTTTTTTTTGACAAAAAGGATAATTGTATTTTTCTCCCTGAAAATATTAACAGAAGGACTATAAGGATTTATGCTAATGAAGCTTTCTTTTGGTCTCAGAATAAGGAAGTGTTTCAGCTAAATCCTTTTCCAATGTTAATTTGAAATAATGGAGAATACTGCAGGGCGTCCAAGTACGTAAAAAGAAGCTATTTTAATATCTTTATTCACATAAGTTTATGTAATTTTAAAAGCAGAATAGTTATGGATTTTTAATTCTTCATTGTTATTATTCCTTATCACCTTGGTCCATTTTCTTCTTTTTAGTTGTCTTTTGTGGGTACATCTCTAAAACTCATAGCCTTGACTTTAGGAATGAAGGTCACAAGGGCCAGGAGAGCAGCAATTACACTGAGCCAGTGATGTGGGTCCCACATACAGGACTATTATACCACTCCACTAGGTGTGTTAAATATCTGCAGATGGGTTTGTATTGAAGCATAATACATGATCCTAACATTGTCAGAAATGTATTTTTTCTGATGCTGGCACCTGTGAAATTGTTTGGTGTTTGTATATGCAAAAGGGTCAGTTTTACTCTGTATATGGTAGGGTGGATAAATTTGGTACCCTAGGGGTTTTTTACATTTTCAAGGAATGAGAATTGTTTCTTTACTTGTTGTTCTTTTTGTAAAATCTTAAAAAAAAAAAAGCCAGCCCACCCAAACATACTTTAGCTTAACTGAAATAAATTAATATATCATGAAACATTTCAGCCTTTTCTAAGTGAACAGTAAAATTCCCACTGAATTCAGTGAGACCAACATTTCATTTTATCAGCTGTACTGCCTTGTAGTCCTATATCTTCCCATTTCTTGAAGCTATCAAAATAATTTTGTGCCTGATCCAAAATGTTGTGGATTCAAGCTGTTGCTCATTGAACTCAGTGAGCATGAGCCAGAGCTTCTCAAATTTAGTTAACAATATTAAAGTCAGTAAGACACAGGAGCTATTTCTTCTTTGCTGAAGCAGAAATTCAGCTCTTCTAACAACTTGCTGAACAAATTTCTTTCCTCAAAATTACAAAAAGTAAAGATAGTAACATGAAATCTCTGAAGATTAGTCATGTTTAGTTTAGGTATCATTTGAACTTTTGAGAGTTCAATCTTCATTTTACTGGAAGGTTTCTTTCTAATTCCAGGAATCTTTGTTTGCTTGAGTATTTTATGTGCCAAAACTAACTACTGTTTGTAAATAACATATCTCCACATGTAGTACAGAAATAAATATCATAGAGTGAAATAACCCCATAGACTAAAATAACCTGGCAAGTATTGTACATTGTCTATCCTTACTTATAATCAATTTTTTGTAATTATATCAGCTTGTATTTCCATTTGTCAGTGTTGTCATATATGTCCGATTTCTACAGTTTTAATTTTACTTTTAGAGAAAATTATTGTTTACAGTTACAACCTCAGGTCTAAAATAATGCACCAGAGGCTGAAGCCAAAAGTTGGAGATGCTTAGGTGTCTTCAGGATTAGGTAGCAACTAACAGCATTGTTTTCTTTGGACTTTAATTTTGAGCTTCAGATTGCATAATTACTTTGTTGTGTTTTATGTACCTAGCTACAGAGACTAGCTAATAAGTATGTTAAAATCAATGGGGATTAATTTTGTCGGGTTCAGTGAGATTCTGTGGCTCGGTGCTTATATACTACAGAAGTTACATCTGAAATAACTCACAGATATAGTAATTCTGCATATGAAGTGTTCCCAGTAGTTTCTCACACCCAAAAATCTTTAAAGTTTCCACATATCCCACCACAGAATGGTGGTTAGAACAAATTACAAATTAAATTATGATTATTATGATTGTTCTGTACTGCCAACTGCTGTTTGTATTATTTTAAAATTTTCTGATGCTACTGTCACAGATCTTTTTTTTTTTTCCTTTATGAGAAAAATTGAAATGAACAATCAGTCAGCAAACTTACTGATACACCATCAACTGTAGCAAATACCTATAGGTAAAATTAAAATACAGTGTAATACTGAAGAAGACAACCATTTTAACTTTCCAGAAAATACATGGGCAGGCATTTAAGACATATTTTACCACTACAATGGCTGTAACTATCCACTTCAGAAAATGAAAATTTGGAGGAGTTTGCTCAAAATGTTTAAAGAAACTTCCTCAATCTTTACACCAAAATAAAATGTGGCTAAAGAACAGTTTATACTTCAGTCTCACTCTGGGAGGCATGCCTGAAATTGACAAAAGGTGATCACTGTTTGCCAAATATATTAATATTAAGATCGTGCCAGTCTTAAATCCTTGAAATGAAAGTGATGTTAGGAATAATGCTGTATCTGGAGAATGCCCTGCTTTGTACTGAGCCAAACAGTTATTCATACTCAAAGTTGCCTCTGTGGGGTGTTCTGTCTCCTCTAGCGCACTGATGTAGAGCCAGTTTTTATCCTATATTTTAAAATTAGACATTATTAGAAAAGCAATTCTCAGTGCTTGTAGAACTAGTAGATATAGAATCATTAAACACTGAGTTTACACTTCACAAGTCTGTGTTGAATACTGACATAACTGGAGTGACATTAAAGTGGCATTCTTTTCCTTCACTGTATCACATACATAATGGAACTATTGTATGTTGACTTCTGAATGATAATTTCCTCTAAATTTTAATTATCTTTTTCCTACAAGACACTATTGAGTTTAGTCTGGTACTACCAAAGGTGAAGTTGTTGCTAGTCACTGTACCCATGACCTAAAAACCTAATGCTTTGTGACAGAACCTCTGATTCTTGGGTAAATAATGAAGAGGCAAAGAAAAGCAAGGGATGAACAGAAACTACAGCAAGCAAATGTGTGAAGAGACAATCAGAAAATACTCTGACCAATAATAAAATATCCTGTCCAAACTCCCGGAAGCTGAGGTTTTAAGTTGCTGAAAACCAAATGCTTCAATTTTTGCGAAGCCCTGTGATGCTTTCTTAGGTCTTTTATATAAACTTTTTTTTTTTTTTTCTAAAAAGCAATTTTCCATAAACATCATTAAAATAGAAAAAAATAAAACAAAATAAGTTTAAGTAGATGTGCAATTTCCAAAATGTTAAAATGGCAGAATGTGGTAAAATATGTTACATATAAGACAGCAAATTGCAAATTTAAGAATTACAATAAGAAGTTCCAGTTTGCACCTTTCGTTCCATATAGAAGGCTTTAAAGCCGTGGGAATAACTGAATTCCAGGACATAGAAAGGATTAGTTGCATAAAACACAGTGAAAGGAATGAGGGAGAAATGCTGATTGGAAAGAACATGAAGGCTGTTATGCTGTCTTTCAAGTCAAGTCAGTAGAGAAAAATACTTGCTATTCTTAGTTGGTAACAAATGATCCTACGGATGCAGTAGATCATGCTGAAATGTA